GCTGGGACTACAGTCACCTGCTATAACGCCCGGCTGTTTTTTTAGACAATCTAATACATTTTTTGATATTGTTGTTTAGCAGGCCCTGGCCGGGTTCAAACCCACCAGCCTCCGTGCAAGTAGACTTAGTGTCCAGTGAGGGTCCATTTCCTGGTTAATGGTTGATATCTTCTAACTATGTCCTCCCATGATGGGATGTAGGGCCTCTTTTCCAAGGGCGCTGACCTCCCCCATTCTCATGACCTAATCATACCTCCTAACACCATCACATGGGTGATCAAGTTTCAAAATACCAACTTCAGGGCAACAAAAACATTCTGATTATAACAATTGCTAAGTAAAAACAATACAGAAGAGATAGGACTACCACTATTCACAGGAAATGTAATTGTCCAGCAGATTTTCAACTGACAAAGCATTAGGATTAATGAAAAAGTAAGCAAGGGAATCAGGTACAAAATTAATACATAGAAATCAATAGTTTTCCCACACATTGACAATAACCAATTAGAAAATAGTGAACAGCTTTCAACTGTTCTGAAAAACAAATAGAGAGATGCACTAGATTGCTGCCAAGCAATACTTAACATTATATTATGGAATTTTTCCAATGGAATTTGACAAGTTAATTCTAAAATATTTTTAGAAGAGCAAATGCCCAAGAAGAATTAGGAATAATATGTTGAAAAAGAATAAGGAGGTAGGCTTGGCGCCTGTGGCTAAGTGGCTAAGGCGCCAGCCACATACACCCAAGGTGGCGGGTTCGAATCTAGCCCAGGCCCACCAAACAATAATGACGGCTGCAACCAAAAAATAGCTGGGTGTTGTGGTGGGCACCTGTGGTCCCAGCTACTCAGGAAGCTGAGGCAAGAGACTCACTTGAGCCCAGGAGTCAGAGGTTGCTGTGAGCTGTGATGCCATGGCACTCTACCCAGGGGGACAGCTTGAGGCTCCTGTCTCAACAGAAAAAAAAAGAAAAAAGAAGAACAAGGAGGTGACCTTCCTATTAAATGTTTAAAAAAGGAAAAAGAATAAGGAGGGTGGAAGTTGTTTTATAATATATTAAACATGTAGAGCTCTAGAAATTAAGGTAATGTGCTACTGATATTAGAAAATATCACACCATTCACAAAAATACAGTCCGTGTCGATTAAGATGCTAAAAGTAAATAATAAAATCCTGGAAGCTTTAGAAGAAAATATAATCTTGACGTGGGGAGGGGCTTCTTAAATAAACCACAGAATATAAGAATCACAAGGAGAATATTTGTTTATATCAAAATTTAAAATTACATATGACACAAAACTACCACAAGGGAATGCAAAGTATGAAAGACAAATGGGGAAGAAAATTTTGCAACATATATAACATTCGAAGAAGTATTAGAGATATGTTAGGAGAGAAAGAAAGGGAGGGAGGAGAGGGGAAGACGGAGGGAAGGGAGGGAAGGAGCAAGGACGAAAGAATCTAAACGAAAAATACGCAAAAGATATGAACACCTCTTTGCTTAATTCAAAGAAGATATTCAAATGACAAAAAAAAAAAAATCCTGGTAACAAGAAGCTCCACTTCACGAGTAATCAAGAATACTAAATAAAATAATAAGATACAGTATAATTTCTACCTACAGACTGTCAGAAATTTAGAACAGTTAAAAGATCCAATACTGGACAGGGTAGAAAAAAGGAAGTCTGAACACTACCCCTTTGGTGGAAAGAGACATTGGGTCAGCTTCTTAGAGGAAAGTCATGAGTTCACCCAGCAGTTTCATGGCATCTGCCTTAGAGAAATAGACAGCTGTAGACACCAAGAGGAGGACACTTACTGTCACATTGTGGAAGTGAAAATCGGGGAACAACTTTATGCATCAAGTGGAGAAGCTTTAATAAATAATTGCACATCCACACCATGTACTATTACACAACAATTAAAAAGAATGAGGAAGCTCTGTATTTGCTGACCTGCTAAATTTCCAAGGCATAATGTTAAGTGAAAAGCAAATAAAACATATTTAGTGTAATATTGTTCTTGTAAACAGCAACAACAAACAAGAAGGGCCAAACTATTGTCTACGCTCTATATGAATGTAACTGCTGAAAAAGATTAGGAAAGATAACACACCAGCATGAGAATAGGGGTGACCTCTGATATTGGGGAAATAGTCAAAAGAAACCATGGTTTGATTTGCATTTCTTTCTTTTCATTTTTTTTTTTTTTTTTTGAGACAGAATTTCACTCTGTTGTTCCTGGTGGCCTGTCACGGTGTCATAGCACACAGCAACCTCAAATTCTTAGGCTCAAGTGATTCTCTTGCCTCAGCCTCCCAAGTAGCTAAGACTATAGGTTCATGCTACAATACCCGGCTATTTTTAGAGTCAGGGTCTCAGTCTTACTCAGGCTGGTCTTGAGCTCCTGAGCTCAAGCAGTCCACCTGCCTCAGCCTCCCAGAGTGCTGAGATTATAGGTGTGAACCATCATGCCTGGCTAATTTTTTATTTTTTAAAAAATAAGACTATGTGTGGATCAGAACCTGGACTAGAAAAAAAAAAGACTTTATGTATTCATCGTACCGTCACACCATTAAAAGCTTAGCAGTGAAGTGGGAGTGTGGGGCACGATTCCATTTTCATTCTACACTTAACTTCAGTTCCCTTCTCTCACTCTTCCCTGAGCCCACTCCAGTCAGGTTTTCATCCCACCGTTAACAGAAAGCTGGTCCTGTCCACATCAGCAGCCATCCCTACATGCTAAAGCTAGTAGTCAGTTCTTAGCTCTAATCTTCCCAATCTCAAAGTAGCATTTGACCAGCTGATCACTCGCTCCTCGCTGAGACTCGTTCTCAGCATCTAGGGACATTTTCCTGGTTTTTCTTCTGTATCACTGGATGCTTTTTCTATCTCCTCCTCAGGTTCCCAGCTTAATAATGAAGAGCTGCCGGGTTCATTCCTTGAGCCCTTTCCTCTTTACCAGCACCTCCCGGCAGCCAGCAGTCATTAAAATACAAGGTTAATAGTGTTACTCCTCTGCCCAAATCCTCCAGTGACTTCAGGCTTCACTCCAGTAAGAAAGATTTGGCTCTGATTATCTCTTTGACCTTATTCCCTGGGCTTCTCCTTGCTTACTCCACTGTAGCCACGCTGGCCTCTTCTGTTCTAGGAGGCAGTTGCTGTTTCCTTTGCCTGGAACACTCTTGCCTTGAGATTGCTGGGGCCTATTCCCTCACTTCCTCAGGTCTTTGCTCAAATATCTCAGTTCTCAGTGACAGTTTCTCCAGCTAAGCAGACAGCCCTCCCACTCTGTCCTCTTCCCTGCTTCACTTTGCTCCTTAGCACTTACATCAAGTAATGTATTTTGTATTTACTTATTTTGTGTATTATTTATCTTGCCATCACCTCCACCCTCCACACTTTCATATCATTGAGACATTGGTTTTGTTCATCGTTGGTTCCTTAGAGCAGTGCTTGACCTATGATAGTGTTTGGCAAATGGTAGGTGCTCAATACATATTTGATGAATAAGGGACACAGCATAAAACCTGAATGTAAAAGTTGGAAGGAGGCTGGGCACAGTGAGTGGCTCATGCCTGTAATCCCAGCACTTTGGGAGACTAAGGTGTAGGATTGCTGGAGCCAGGATTTGGAGACCAGCCAAAATATGCCAGATTATGTCTTGATATGAACATAAATGTTACCATTTGTTGAATACTAAGAGCCAAAGAATTTAAATATTTATTTCCTTTTGATCTAAATAACAAAGCTATGACAGTATGATTATTACTAAGAGATGGAGAAACTGAGACTCAGTGAGGTTTAAGTAACTTGCCCAGCATCACGCTTAGTTTGCTTTCGGACCGGAACTCAAATCTAGCTCTGCTGCCTTTCTATACCTGTGACATTGCCAACACCCAACCCCTACTCCCCACAAAGATAAGAAATCAAAGTACTCACTTGTGAGCCTTTTATTACACATGTCTTGAAGCCAACTTTCTTCTGTTTGTACAGCTCTTGGAATTCCTAGGTGCAAATTTTGATAGATAGTTCTGAAATGTAGACAAAAATGTTAGTTTTGAGTATACCTGTGCAGCTGTTAGCAGGGCTTCTAAATACTTCATTTAATAGTCAAGTAACAAATATACGGAGAAGATCTTGATTCTGTTTTCTTTGAAATATTTTCTTCCATTCTTATCTCTTCGGTAAATGTAGGCAGAGTATGTTTGCATCAAACTTGTTCATTGGAAAGAGTTCTTTTCTAAGTCCCAGTGGCTTCCAATATCATATTATATCCCTTGGGGAGTAAATTACTGCCGCTACATCTGTACGCATGTGGCGGTGGCAGTGGTGTGTGCATTTAAACATTTACTTGGATTCAAATTGGAACAGACTGTTCATTTTCAATGGCTTAAAAACAATCCAAACTCTTTTTAAAGGGCTGCTGTTACATTACGTGCATTGTAGTTAAACAATCGGCATTCTTTTGGAGTAGTCTAATTGGTTATTTTAGTTATCATTGATGTGATAGGAAGGCAGGAATTTATTGACTTGTAATAGTTAAAATAATATTTACTGGTAACAAGTAAATAATACTTTTCAAGCTCCTTTGTCTCTTTGAATTTCAATTTAAAAAATATAATGTGCGGCATCTTCCAAAATTGTCACACAGTATCTTTCCAAACGATTTAGTTAACTTCTGGATTGTCCCTTTGTCACCTTTCTCAGTTGTCTCCTGTCTCCACTTTTCTTTTTGATGTTTTATTCCTTGGCATGTTGCATCAGTGAAGTGTTTTTGTTTTTGTCATTCTGAAATGACTGTGCCCTGTAGTGGGTGAGGAACTCCTCTGTGGAGACACCTGTGCAAGTCTCTTAGGGAGTCTTATTTATCTAACCTCCCAGGGATACAAGTTAGACTAAGAGGAAAGGAAGAGAAATCTCTACATGTTTAATGGTTCCTGCGGCCCCCTCCGAATTCAATGGTTAACAAAAACAGTATGTTAATCATGTAAATCTCTTTGCTCTCCTTAAACCAACACAAAGGATTACTTTGGAAATTCCGTGTAAAGAAGAGAAATAGAAGACAATAACAAAATTAACATTAACTGAGAATTCACTGTAGAGTAGTACATGTGATAATAGTTGATTTACTCACATTATTTCATTTATCTTTCCATAAACCATACAAAGTGTATTTAGGGTCAAGGAAACTGAAGTTTATGAAGATTAGGAAATCTCTCAAAAATCACCAGGGATTCCCGGCTGCCTCCAAAACCTGTGTTTTCCCACATTCATCTCTTCCTAAAGTTTGCCCCATTTCCAGCAGGAATAGTAATAAGACAACTAAGAATAGAAGTTGAGCCATTATGAGGTGCATTTTTGTGAAAGTTTTGGACATATGGCTTTAAAAAACACTCAGAATCTCACCAAATTCGCTGGAGAATGCCTTGAAATGTAACAAGCATCTTCTTAGGAAGATTTATGAGAGAAATTAAGAATCTGATCTAGGAAAGAGGAGTTCCCATGGCTTTAAAACCATATGATGGGAATTCAGGTCAAGATGGCAGCTAAGTACAGAATTTTCTTCCCTTTCCTTCCCAAGTTCTTGCGGAAATAACAAACACTTTAAACAAACAAACAAACAAAAATTAGCCTTAGAAAACAAGAAAGGTTAATAGACAAGGAATATTAAAAGGAAAAAGTGATTATAGGTTGACAGAAAGCCAGAGCAAAGATTACTGCAGCTTAAGACAAGAGAGATAAGGTTCTTCCAAAGGAATCCTGAGAAGCTTCTAGCTGGACCCAACCAAACAGAGAGAGAGATATGGGGGATGTCATCAGGGTAGTCCAAGGTGTGAAATTTGAACACCCGTCCAGGAAGCTGTTCCTTTCCCAGGAAAGTTCACAGCAGTTGTTTTTATTTCCACATGCAGCCCAGAGAACAGGCTTCTAAAAATAGTGGGCCACCTGCCCAGGGAGGTTTTAGCTCTAAAAGAGAAGTAGAGTATGAGTTTACTCAGTACTTACCCAACAGGCTTGGTTGAGAAAAGATCAAGTGACATTCCTCCCATAAAGAACTTGAAGCATACAGTGAAGTGTCCTTTGCCTAAGTCTAGTAATAGTGGGTTACCCAGCTGGACTGCTCCTTGCCCGGACACTGCAGAAAACTGGCTCTGCTACGCCCCACCCACCTGGATCATAGTAAACCCTTCCATGCAAGCTGTAAGGAAGATCCCGTTCTAACTACTTACCAATCATCCCTTTATCTTATAAAGGATTACCAGTTACTGAGGAACAATCAATAGGATAGCAAAGAAAGAGCAAGATAAATGAACAAACTGCCCTTGGGGAAAAAAAAAAATGGAGTCAAAGAACAAAAGAGAACTTCAGTATATTACAATAGTGCCCTCAAAGACATAAAAACAAACCAACCAAAAAAGCCAAATTATTTTGAACAGCAACAATCAGAGAACAAGAACTGGTTCTTGGAAATTACAAATATGAGTCCTCAAATAAAAAATTCTGTATGAGGGATGTATAGCAGCCTGAAAATATCAAAAGTCTTAAAGATACTGAATATATGAAGGAAAAGGTGTGAAAGATGGAGATCTATCCAGAGGTCCAATAGTCTAGCTGGGATTCTGAAGAAGAGAGCCGATGAGGAAATAAGCAAAAATTACAGAAGGGTTTGAGAATCAGACTGATAGTGGTACCAGATGCTGGGAGGCAAAGAAGCTAAGAGCGCTGAGGAAAAATGGTTTTCATCTGTTCTTTTATGCCAGGTGATATTATTAATCAATAAAGCACGAGGGCAAAATGAAGAAATTTGTAGGCAGGCAAAAACTCACAAATCTGACCACCCATGAGACTTCCATGAAAAACTTACCTGAGCTGTTTTTCCAGAAAAAGGAAAAGGAATAAAAAAAAAAGGCCCCCATATGGGAAACAAGAAAGTGAGCCCATTGAGCCCAACCCAGAAAAATTGGAGACAACTAAAAACAACTGAGAGCTGAAAAGTTCACTTGTTAGGAGCCAAGTTTTACAGATAGAAGATTACATGTGCTTACCCATGGATCCAGCGGCATTACTGGTTTCTTAACATGGAACTGTATTATTCATTAGTTTTCAATTTTAAGAATTAACCCTCAACACTTTAATTATAAATAACCTAAAGCACTTTAATTATAAATCACAAACCAAAATACAAACATGCAAAAATTTGGCAAAGGAATATAACTTTTTGTGAACATACATATGTTTTAATATAGTTTGTTAGGTAATATACATGTAAATTGTTAACTGGGGCAGAAGAAGTTAGAGAAAGAAGAAGGGAAGCATAAGTATATTAATGTGTTAATTCTTCGTAAAAATATCAACTGATCTAAAATAGATAAATCAATAAGTAGAGTTTAAATACTTTCACCTGCTAACCGTTAGCGAAATGAAAAATAATGTAACTACTAAAATGGAGAATTGGAAAGTCAATAGTTATATCAGGAATTGATAAATCAAGGATTTTCAACGTTATTTAAACTTATAATGGGAACAAAATTGAAACTGTTAACTATATGTTCACTTTGGTAGGTGTGAGTACAGGTGGAGAAGGGTATGGAGAGTGTCAATTTTATAACTTTGTATATTTTATTTCTTAACCATGTGCATATATTTTTTACTGAAAATTTGAATTAAAAGGACAAATGAGGCCAGGCATAGTGGCTCATGCCTGTAATCCTAGCACTCTGGGAGGCAGAGGCCAGCAGATTGCTTGAGCTCACAAGTTCAAGACCAGCCTGAGCCAGAGCAAGACCCTGTCTCTGAAAGTAGCCAGATGCTGTGGCGGGTGCCTGTAATCCCAGCTACTTGGGAAGCTGAGGCAAGAGAATCACTTGAGCCAAGAGTTTGAGGTTGCTGTGAGCTATGACACCATAGGATTTTACTGATGGCAACAAAATGAAACTCTGTCTCAAAAAAAAAAAAGGATAAATGAAAAAATGTAAGTGGGACAAAACAATTTTCGTTACACTTAAGAATTTAAAAGTTGGCTCGGCGCCTATAGCTCA